AACATGAACATGAACATGAACATGAACATGAACATGAACATGAATATGAACATGAACATGAACATGAACATGAATATGAACATGAACATGAAAAAGAAGATGAATATGAAAAAGAAAGAAAAATAATATTACCAAGATCAAGAACAAGAACAAGAACAAGAACAAGACAAGAACAAGAACAAGAACAAGAACAAGAACAAAACAAGAACATGAAAAAATAAGAGCTAGAACATGAATATGAAAAAGAAAACATAATATTAACAAGATCAAGAACTGGACCAAGAACAAAAATATTAATCTAAAATAGAACAAGTAGAAAAATTATTATTAACTATTACTAAAAGAAAATAGTAACTAGGACAAAGTAGAAAAATATGAACCAGAACAAGAACAAAAATATAAACCAATTCTACATTTATATTTCCCCTTTTTTAATCAAGAGGAGAGAAGCTAAGGAATGGTGGCCTCTTTACAGTACATACAGTATATACAAGGTGGCCTCTGTACATTACACAAACAAATACACCAAGAATACAGGAACACAAGATCACAATAACAATTTAGCTACAACAACAATAATAATGCTAATAACAAAATGATTATAATAAATACAACTATAACGTAAGCAATATAAACCATACAACAACGACAACAATAATAATAATGCTGATAAAATGATAATAATAAATACAACTATAATGTAAGCAATATAAACCATACAACAACGACAACAATAATAATAATGCTGATAAAATGATAATAATAAATACAACTATAATGTAAGCAATATAAACCATACAACAACGACAACAATAATAATAAAATTAAAAATAATTTTACCTGATTATTAAAATAATATTACCTGATTATTAAAATAATATTACCTGATTATTAAAATACCAATCTTCAATGTCTTCCTCATGGTTCTCCAACAAACTCTCACACTGAGTTTTCAACTGAAAAAAATGTTGATTAGTTTCATCTCGTGTTAAAAATGTTTGTTTTTACAAATTGATTAACTTATATTGGGAACATCTGAAACCTGCCTCTACATGTATTTATAAACACAATGAAAACGATATCAAGGATATCTCTAGGATATCTCAAGGATATCTCAAGTATATCTCTAGGATATCTCTAGGATATCTCTAGGATATCAAATATCAAATACTAAAAAATCTGACCTGCGTAATCTCTGCGCTTGGTTTATCCCAAAGTTCGTGAGGGATTCCTATATCCACCTTCACTCCTTTACTTACCAATCCTTCAAGGGTTCTAAACATTAAATATATATTATATTACATATATTCCTATATTATATTGCATATATTATATATTCCTATATTATATTGCATATATAATATATTATATATTTCGATAATCTTACGAGGAAAAAATGTAATAGTGGAAATTCTGAAACTCCATGAAATAATCTTGATGCATTCTTTAACTCCGGCGTAGGCATCACTGACATCATGAAGGGTTGCAAATAAGTTTTTATATTTAACTTATACTCTTGTCCTGACTTTTTCTTTTTCATTTTTCTAATGTTACAATGGTAAAATGTTAAAAACCCTTTCATAAGTAAAAATTGGTTCTTTATTTGTAAATAATGCATGTGGTGTGATTGTTTTCTTAGTTAGCTTCTTAGTATTATAATTTATAATGCTTTTTTTTTAAGTTGATGCTATATTTAGATTTAGCATGTTCAATGTGCCTTGAGTTTTTTAAGATGGAGAGAAGTTGAGTTATGAGAATTGTAGGAGGTTGTCTCAATCTACTGATCAAAAGAGTGAAATCAATTACAGAAGAAATCATTTGCTGGATATTAGATCCTAGATCTTCCAAAAAGAGTAGAGAAAATCAGGTTATCTAGCAAAAACCCAGTTCAAAATATGAACTGATGAAGATCTTTGTCTTTTATTCATGAATCAAGATTTATTGGTTAGTTTTCATTGCTATGGAGTGCTAAGACCACACATAAAGTTTGTTAATATTTTTAATGACTTGTTTCCATAAACTAACATTCAATGTTTTTGATTGTGGTACCACTTCAACTAGAGCTATGCGAGATATGATGAATGCTGAGGTACTTCAAAACCAGTTTTAGCTTTAGGGTGGGGGAGAAATCGACCCCCATCACCTCTTAATTCTGTCTATATTGCCCAATATTACAACTGAATGTGGAATTTTGGAAAAGCTCTTTTTGTTCAGCCACCAGTTATAAAGTGAAAAAGCAGTTGAATGAAATTGTGGAAAACATGATAACCTTTCCATTTTGGAAAAGTTCTGAACTTTCTTTTACAAATATGCAGATAGCAGAGATTTGCAAAATCTTACAAAACTTGGTTTGCAATAAAGAAAAACTAAAAAAATGTTTGAATAAAGTAGGCAGTCAGGCAGTATGCTTTGAGACTCGGACAGTTTGATGAAAATGCCTAATATAAGGCTTGAAGCATTGTCCATAATTTTTTAGGAAAGGTCACAAAACTTGAACGTCGTCTGAATCATTCTTAATGAGATATATTAATTAAACACAGGGGGAGGGGGGGGGGAGGTCCCCTTCCACTCTTCTGTCAAGATTGGAATGGAAATTTCTGGATTAATTATATCAATACTTCTGAAAATGAAAAGGTAAGTGAGCATGAAAAGGAAAGTTTGTATGTTTTAATATAAAAAGGTAAGTGAGCATGTTGTTATAAAGTTTAAAAAGGTAAGTTTGAATGTAGAAATATATAAGAAAAGGTGAGTGTGCATGTTGTTCGTACAAAATTAAGTTAATATCAATATTGATCTATGTTAAAAAGATCAATATAAGGAGCGTGTAAGACTGGGGGTGTAGAATTTTCATTCTTTAACGCTCAGACCGTGTAGTAATTTCCATTCTTACACGGTCTGAGCGTTAAAAAATGAAAATTGTAAGAATGAGCATTCTTTAACGCTAAGATGCTAACAATATTGGAATTTGTTCTCCTGAACCGTGTAATAATGGGAATTCTAAATGCATTAGAAATTGGTTAACTAACAAACAAACTTAACTTAGAAAACAATCACACCCCATGCATTGAATGCATTACTTTCAAATTAGATCCAATTTTTACTTTCTTATAAAATGGTTTTAACATTTTAGCATTTTAACTTTAGAAAAATAAAAAATAGTGATAGTCAGAACAAGAACATAAAACTTATTTGCAACCTTTTATAATGCTAACTGTTCCAATTTGAAATAGTCGGATTTCACCAGAATTATTTTAGTGAGCAAACGGGCTTAGTAGTAACGCTTTTTTACCTGAAAGTTTCACTCTGTCCTTTAGTGGGCAAGCGGGCTTAGAACTAAGGGTTTTACTTGAAAGTTTCACTCAGTCCTTTCAGTGGGCAAGCGGGCTTAGAAGTAATGGTTTTACCTGAAAGTTTCACTCTGTCCTTTCAGTGGGCAAGCAGGCTTAGAAGCAATGGTTTTACCTGAAAGTTTCATTTTGTCCGTTCAGTGGACAAACGGGCTTAGAAGTGACGGTTTTATCTGAAAGTTTCACTCTGTCCTTTCAGTGGGCAAGCAGGCTTAGAAGTAACGGTTTTTAAGTTTCACTCTGTCCTTTCAGTGGGCAAGCAGGCTTAGAAGTAACGGTTTTACCTAAAAGTTTCACTCTGTCCGTTCAGTGGGCAAGCGGGCTTAGTGGGCTTAGGAGTAACGGTTTTTACCTGAAAGTTTCACTCTGTCCTTTGGCAAATCTAGTAGAATCACTTCTCTCCTGAAATATAGCAAAATAATAAAAATCAGTCAAATAATGGAAATCAATTTATTAGTTTATTTAGTCTACCTTGTGAATATTATATTGTAGAACCCTGTCACAGATTCCCTCCAAGGTTTCGATCAGTCTTAGTTCCGATTTTACATACTAAATAAACCAAAAAAAAATCTTGATTTTATTATTTCAAATTTCAAAAAAGCTTGATATGAAATGATCCGGATCCGGATCCATTGGATCCGCAAGATATTGGCTTCCTGGATCCGGATCCATTTTTTCCCAGTGCGGATACAGAACCGGATCCGGATCCGCATCAAAATTAAATGGACCCTAAGCACTTGAAATGATACATTAATAGCTCAGGAAAAGTTTTGAGAGATTAAAAAAAAAGTTATTTTCATTTTCCTTAGTTTTCTTCTTCTCTTTGGTATGACTGTATCCTGTCTCAACAACCTTAAGAAATTATTTTTATTTTATATTTTTTTAACTGCGTGATAAAATGTACTTCTTAAATGATTATTTTTTTCAGCGGAAATCTTACCTCGTGCTTCTTAAAAGATTCTTCATAGCGGAAATCTTACCTCGAGGATTCTTAGAAGATTTTTCTTATTTAGCGGAAATCTTACATCGTGCTTCTTAGAAGACTCTTCTTAGAGGAAATCTTACCTCGTGCTCCTGAGAGGATTCTTCTAATCTAGCGGAAATCTTACCTCGCGCTTCTTAGAGGATTCTTCTAATTTAGCGGAAATCTTACCACGTGTTTCTTAGAGGATTCTTTTAATTTAGCGGAAATCTTACCATGTGTTTCTTAGATGATTCTTCCAATTTAGCGGAAATCTTACCTTTTATGCTTCTTAGAGGATTCTTCTAATTTAGCGGAAATCTTACCTCGTGCTTCTTAGAGGATTCTTCTAATTTAGCGGAAAACTCTTCTGTGAACACTTTGCAAACCTAAAAAATAAATAACAATTCAAAAAAGCAATTTTGAAATTTATGAAGCTAGAGAGGTGTCCAATAGCTCCTGGACTTATGGGGGGGGGGGTATGCCATCACAAACCCTTCAAGATCAAATCTTTTCCGCCTGACTCTGCAAAAGTGACTTGCGCATTTCTTCCTTATAGGAAACAATGGAGAAATTATCAAAACTGAACACTATGAGTCAGAAAAATTATATTATCTTCTATATTTTTAAAAGATTTAGGTTTTAAGGGTACCGTTGTAAATCAGGCATTGCAAAAATGCATGAAGGGTCATTTGAAATTACGCTTACAGTCCCTTTAATTTATCTGTGTGAACAAGACTGCAAGATATTCAACTTTGAACTGTATTATTTTGCCACCTGTCAGATGCCTAATTACGAGTGGACTCAGTTTACAAGTTGTAAAAAGTTTACAAAGAAGACACTCTTAAAGGGAGTGTTCGCGAAAAATGAAAGGGGGTATAGGCTTAATGCGATAAAAACGCGCTTTTGATCTCTACTAATCTTACTTCTAGCTGTTGCGTCTATAAGGAGAAAATTGTTAAAAACGACAAATACCGAAGAACGTAGTGTCCATACAAATTCAGAAAGATGCAACATACGACTTAGACCGTAAAAAATCTATTTAATTTCAAACAAATCATTCAGATATTACAACCTATAGTCATCGATTATCTTTCGCCATATTTGTATATAGTGGATTTTTAATAATATGTTTTGATTTTATTTTTTAAAATAATATTAGCTTACAACTTGTTTTCGAACATTCTTGGAAAATATCAAAATGTCGTCTTCATTACCAAAAATCCTCGAAACAGGAATAAATGTTTTTTTAAGTAACTCTCAGATCATAACAATTAGTAGCGATCAAAAGCGCTTTTTTATCGTCTTAAGCCTATACCCCCTTTCATTTTTAGCGAACACTCCCTTTCAAAGTACACTAGCCTTATACCTTATGCTTATACACAGCGTTAGACATATCTTACATCCATACTCCAGCATGTATATTGTATATTGTATGTTGTATATTGTATATTGTATATTGTATATTGTATATTGTATATTGTTTATTGTATATTGTATATTGTATATTGTATATTGTATATTGTATATTGTATACGTATCATACCTCCGTACTCGGACTAACATACGACTGTACAATGTACACGTTTTTCAGGTTCTAAAATATTTCCAAGTATACCTCACATTCTGAAGTATATTGTATATTGTATATTGTATATTGTATATTGTATATTGTATATTGTATATTGTATATTGTATATTGTATATTGTATATTGTATATTGTAGACGTATCATACCTCCGTACTCGGACTAACATACGACTGTACAATGTACACGTTTTTCAGGTTCTAAAATATTTCCAAGTATACCTCACATTCTGATGCAAACTTCACACCATACTTCTCCTCTTCAAACTTATCTCCTCTAAACAATTATATTTTCAACATGGAAAATAAAAATTCATGTTTGTGATCAGAAAAAAAATTTACAGAGTCTTTAGAATAAGTTCCCCATTATTTCATGCTGTTCAGTGTTCATAGATTTATTTCGCATTTATAACATGCAGAAATCAACATTTTCCTTAAATGAGAGTAATTCCTTAAGTCAATAACGTTTGTCTGGGATATCCAATATCGACTGTAATAGATATCCACAGAGTAAATTTGTTGATTAGTTAAGGATTCAGGTTTAATGATATATGGAACCCAAGACATTTCAAAATATAATAAGCAACGATTTGAAGAAATTAATCCAACAAACTTTTGTAGAGGATAGCGCTTAGCTTCAGCGACTATACATCCGGGGAACAGTCGCATGAAGAAATGAACAGTCTGACCTCAAATTGTCCGGTCAAAAGTTTATGACAAAGAGTTTTTCCCTCTGGGGATTGGGGTAACTATGATAGAGAACGTTATCAACAGATTTAATAAAACACAATTTTTGACTTCTGAGCTAGGATATTTTGTGTTGAATACCCATAATCCCGATCTTTTGTGTTGAATACCCATAATCCCGATATTTTGTGTTGAATACCCATAATCCCGATCTTTTGTGTTGGATACCCATAATCCCGATATTTTGTGTTGGATACCCATAATCCCGATCTTTTGTGTTGAATACCCATAATCCCGATCTTTTGTGTTGAATACCCATAATCCCGATCTTAATCTTTTGTGCTGAATACCCATAATCCCGATCTTTTGCGTTGAATACCCATAATCCCGATCTTTTGTGCTGAATACCCATAATCCCGATCTTTTGTGTTGAATACCCATAATCCCGATCTTTTGTGTTAGATACCCATAATCCCGATCTTTTGTGTTGAATACCAACAATCCCGATCGCTTGATCTTGATATCCAAAATGGGCACGTATGAATCTGTTGATCTTTTGATTTTGGGTATCCGCAATTTCTCTGTTCTCTCACCGGTTGAACACAAATTCCCTGGCTTCTGATTGGCTGTTCGTTTATCACAAACGACACCCTTTACTTGATTACGAATCAATGTTTGATCTCGATATCAAGGGTTCAAGAGTTCACAGCTCTGGTTGATATTCTGAGGTAAGAACTTTTGAATGAGATAGCGCTGATCTAAAAAGGCTGATCTCGAAATCCACTATGTATCATCTGCAATCCTAATCTCCCACTTATCTTCAGATTCAACCAGAAGGAATTAGCATCACAAAATAACCGGATTAGTACTGTCTGAAGGGATAAACCAAATCAAAAGATTTGTCTTAAAAATTAAATGTTAAATCACCTGACAAAAGAAACTAAGTGGAGGAACCCAAGAACTGACCAAACATAAAACATATTAAATCATAACAGATTTTCTGAAAAATGTCAACTATAAAAGAAAGATATTTAGTATAAATATAAAGCTGGGAGGACGAGAGATTACTTCCTATGAGCGGAACCAACAGCCTGTTAAATATTCCATTTAAATTTTAAAATATTTAATAATTTCGAACACACGAAATATAAACATTCAAACATGTTTCAGATTATGCATCCAAACAGGGATTTCAAATATGATTCTTTATCTTAAATTCTACTAAATATTGTAAAGTTTTCGAATGGAATATTTCCTGTGAGATATTATCAAACCCTTCCTTCTCCAAGATCTCATTTAGTTCTCTCCGTATCCTTGTAACCACAGGAGGACCCTGAAACAGTATTAGGTAATTTCCCAAAGGCAACTTCCCATTTGGCATTGGAGAAAACTAGCCCTAGGAAAACTGTACATTTTGAAATTCCCCACTGGGCTTTGTGAAATTTTCACTTAAACACGCCAATTTGGTTAAAGCCTTACTTAAGCCTAAGAAACATTTTGATTTACAGAATAAAAAAACTAAATTCAATTGAATAAAATAATTGTGAAAAACTAGCACTTTAAGATATATTTTTTTTAAAGACAGAAACGTTGTCCGCACTCTTAAATTAAGGCACAAGGATAAAAATAGTTGACAAATAAAAAAGTGAAGCCGGGGTATTCGAAACAAGATATTTGAATTCAGGTATCCTAAACCTTTCATTTGGAATTGGGTTTTCAAATCATGGTATCTAAAACAAGTATCTTAAACCTTGCGTTTGCAACCAGGTATCCAAAACCTGGTATCTGAAACCTGGTACTGAAACCAGGTATCTCAAACCCTGAGATGAGATTTTAAAAGCTTAAACCCGACTAAAACCCAAACTCGGGCTTAGATAGAACCCAAGTCAGGATTGGTTCTGCTTCGACCAATGAGAGACTGTTTTGCAAGCTTTCTCTCTGTAGCAGACAGAATGCCGTCAGATCAGCTGTGACAAGGAGATGTAAATTTCGACAATTCAAACTTTATGTAGATACATTATTTTCTTAGTATGTTTATTTTATATGATTAATAAAATTTGACACCACAAATAATTCCCGAGATTTTAAATGTACAAATATAAAAGATTTTACGAAATTTACAATCATCAGCTGCTGAAGACTCGAGCCTTAAAGAGAGTAAAACCCAAGAGGGTTGGTTCTTACTATACTCAAGGCCATCCAAAACCCGGGTCTTGACTTGAGCTTTACTTGGGTGAAAGCAGACGCAAAGACCAGGTTTAAGTCGGGTTTAAGCTTTTAAAATCTCATCTCTGGTATCTGAAACCTGGTACTGAAACCTGGTATCTGAAACCTGGTATCTGAAACCTGGTACTGAAACCAGGTATCTAAAACCAGGTAACTGAAACCTGGTATCTGAAACCTGGTATCTGAAACCTGGTATCTGAAACCTGGTACTAAAACCTGGTATCTGAAACCTGGTATCTGAAACCTGGTACTGAAACCAGGTATCTAAAACCAGGTAATTGAAACCTGCAATCCAAAAAACTTAGTATCTGAAACCTGGTATCTGAAACATGGTACTGAAACCAGGTATCTAAAATCAGGTAATTGAAACCTGCTATTCAAAAACCTGGTAACTGAAAACAGGTTACTGAAACTTCGTTATACTGAAACCAGGTATCCGAACCCAGGTTTATGAATCCGAGTATCCGGAATCTAGTATTGAAAACCTGATTGCTCCTCTATGTATTATCTATGCTGTACCTGGAATATAAGAGCTGAATAAACCTGATTGCTCCTCTATGTATTATCTATGCTGTACCTGGAATATAAGAGCTGAATAAACCTGATTGCTCCTCTATGTATTATATATGCTGTACCTGGAATATAAGAGCTGAATAAAGCTGGACAAGTGAGGCTCCAGCACAGATCTTCTTGTACGCATCCTCACCACTACTCACACCACCTACTCCTAATTCAAACCAGTCTTAAAGGTAGTGTTTGCGAAAAATGAAAGGGGGTATAGGCTTAATGCGATAAAAAGCGCTTTTGATCGCTACTAATCTTACTTCTATTTGTTGCGTCTATAAGGAGAAAATTGTTAAAAACGACTAATACCGAAGAACGAGTGTCCATACAAATTCAGAAAGATGCAACATTCAACTCGGATCGTAAACAAATCAATTTAATTCCAAACAAATCATTCAGATATTACAAACAATAGTCATCGATTAATTTTCGACGCATTCGTAAATAGTTGATATTTCATAATATTTTGTATTTTTCATGATCTGAGAGTTACTGTTGAAAACATTTATTCCTGTTTCGAGGATTTTTGATAATGAAGACGACATTTTCATATTTTCCAAGGAGTGTTCGAAAATCTAACGCCAGCGAAAATTATTAAAAAAAAAAGATCAAAAATATTATGAAATATTAACTTTATACGAATGCGTCGAAAAATAATCGATGACTACTGTTTGTATTATCTGAAAGATTTGTTTACGATCCAAGTTGAATGTTGCATCTTTCCGAATTTGTATGCTGCGTTCTTCGGTGTGAGTCGTTTTTAACAATTTTCTCCTTATAGAACTTATTTGATACCAATCAGACATTTTTACGGTGTTTAATTTTTAATATTTAAAAGTTTGTAATATTTAACCAGTTGTTTCAGTCAGCAGCAACGTTTTATTTGTTACTTGCTTTGTCCATGTTATTAAATAAGATAAGATAAAGTGTATTGCTAAAATAAATGTATCTGTATACAGATAGAGTTTACAATTACAATTCAATTCAATTCAATTCAACCTCAGGTATACCAGTGTTATAAACCTCAGGTATTCTAGTGTTATAAGATAAGATAAGATAAGATAACGTTTATTGCTAAAATAAATGTATCTGTATACAGATAGAGTTTACAATCACAAAATTGATGATTATATTAACAGTACAAGTATAACGCAACTAGGTGTAAAATAGCTCTTAGCTGTTTTGATTATTTTTTCCACCTAATTTTAGTAATAATAACAAAATATTTCTATTAAATAGATTTAAGGAGAACGATTAGAGATCAGGGTGAAAATTTATCATATGCAAAATAGTTTATACATTATTTCGAATAACTAGAGTTTAAAGTAATTTTCTGACATGTACACAACAAATATCAAAGCATATTAAAACATATCTAATTAGTTTTAAATGAATAGCAATTAATTCGGTTTATAACACATTGTCCTATAATTTTCAAAAAAGAGAATTTAGTAGTCTATTTTTAAATATACTTAGAGAGTTGCTTCTTTTTAAGTCAAGAGGCAGGTTATTCCACATCTTAAGAAGAGAGATTGATGGTAAATACTGTAATGAGCACATTTTGAGAATGTCAAGTTGATAGTTAAGAGACCTTTCAAAGGTTCCAAGCTTTTTAAAAATATTTTTAAAAGATGCAGGAAGAAGTTTATGTGTATATTTATACATAAATATAGCTTGGTTAAAGTCTACCAGATCAATAATCTTTAGAAGATTGAATTGTTAAAAAATGCTTCTTCTGCTCACTGAAACAACTGGTGACATATTACAATTGGCATTACGCTCTTATTTAAACATTTTAAACCGAGTAAATGTTTCATTGGTATCAAATGAACCCTAAAGTTTTTCTCTACAGAAAGTACTGCACTTTCAGCTCAACTACCAGGTCTAGCAAGTCACTCCCTTTTAAAGGATTCGGATCCACGATTTGTTGCATTCCTGAACCTGGATCTGGTACGGATCCCAGGAACCAGATCAAAGCGGAGAAAAATCAAAACAAATATTTCGTATGTATTTTCTCAAACTTGAATAAGAATTTGACAAATTTTTACTAAATCTAATATTACGAGGGTTTATAGTTTCCCCAGACAGATGAATGAGTAGATATTTCTAAGAATTATTTTAATGAACAAATTAAAAATAGAAGTATATAATTCTGGTAATTTCAACATTGCTTCCGTAGCAAGAAATGCGTATATCGCTTTGTATAGGAATCCCAAATGACAATAATTAATTTTTAAAGAAACAAAAACATTAAAATCTAATTCATTCTAATCAGACGAAGCTTTTAAGGGTACCGTTGTCATGTCCCTAAATGAAGTGTCTCTTAAACTACGTTTTCAGTCCCTTTAAGGGTAACGTTGTCATGCCCCTCAATGGAGGGTCCCTTAAACTACGTTTTCAGTCCATTTAAGAGTACCGTTGTCATGTCCCTCAATGGAAGGTCCCTTAGAACTACGTTTTCAGTCCCTTTAAGGGTACCCTTGTCATGCCCCTCAATGGAAGGTCCCTTAGAACTACGTTTACAATCCCTTTAAGGGTTCCGTTGTCATGCCCCTGAATGGAAGGTCCCTTAGAACTAAGTTTACAATCCCTTTAAGGGTTCCGTTGTCATGCCCCTCAATGGAAGGTCCCTTAGAACTACGTTTACAATCCATTTAAGATTCCTAAAAGAAAGAAGAGGGTTGACAAATAAGAATTTTTTTAACAATGACCCAGCCAATATACATTTAGTCAGTGTCCTTATTTTGAAGCATCTTTTTAGTTATTTGAATTGACCCTCTTTAGAGTGGCATGTCAAAGTAATTATTTTTGATTGCTGTAAATTTACATAAGTTAAGTAAAATAGCGCATTTCTGATACAGGAATTTTTTTATGAAATATCAGAATTAAACACTTTTCAAGCAAGAAAATGGCGTTATCTTCCACATTGTTTCTCAGATAAATGTTTCAAGGATTTCTCTGTGAATCGGGCTGGACCGTATTTAATCGATCTCCTTTAATTGTAGGGTTAATCAAAGTTACAGTCCCTTTATTACACTAAGTACAACGGATGTACAACGGATGTAAAACGGATGTAAAACGGATGTATAACGGATGTCCAACGGATGTACAACGGATGTACAACGGATGTACAACGGATGTACAACGGATGTACAACGGATGTACAACGGATATACAACGGATGTACAACGGATGTACAACACATGTACAACGGATGTACAACAGATGTACAACGGATGTACAACGGATGTACAACCTAAAAAGTTTGCTCACCAATGATTGGAATATGACCACCAGTAAGTTTATATATATCATGAATAGTTTCTGTCGACAGTTCTCTGTTAAAAAATAAAATTGTTTCATCAAAACATTTTAGGATTTAGACGCTTATAAAAAATTATAAAAATGTTTAACAATTGATGCAAAGTTTACGAATTATTTAGGTTTGATTTAAATCTAGAATTTCGCTTGATATAAGCTTCTTGATAAATGGTTAATCCTTAAGTTTCTTGTAAATTAAATTTTTTCCTGAGAGGTGCACCGCTTAATCCACCCGTTTCATTTCTATATTCACTCTTAAGTTCAGGGCGGGTAATTGTAGTGTTAGTCACTATCAAACCATCTACCCTAAACATAAACCATGTTAGTCACTATCAAACCATCTACCCTAAACATAAACCATGTTAGTCACTATCAAACCATCTACCCTAAACATATACCATGTTAGTCACTATCAAACCATTTACCCTAAACATAAGCCATATTAGTCACTATCAAACCATCTACCCTAAACATAAGCCATGTTAGTCACTATCAAACCAAACTACCCTTAACATAAGCCATGTTATTCACTATCAAATCATCTACCCTAAATATAAACCATGTTATTCACTATCAAATCATCTACCCTTAACATAAACCATGTTAGTCACTATCAAATAATCTACCCTAAACATAAACCATGTTAGTCACTATCAAACCATCTACCCTATACACAAACCATGTTGGTCACTATAAAACCATCTACCCTAAACATAAACCATTTTAGTCACTATCAAACCATCTACCCTATACACAAACCATGTTGGTCACTATCAAACCATCTACCCTAAACATAAACCATGTTAGTCACTATCAAACCATCTACCCCAAAAATAAACCATGTTAGTCACTATCAAACCATGATAAATTTGATAAAACGTGATGGGTCCACTATACAATGGGTACACCAGACTTGCCGGTACTTGAGTAGAGTGCAGCTCATGCTATTTACCTCGTATCAGTATTCAGAACAACTGTCGCAATATCTTCTCTATCCTCTCTTCAATTCATCAATAAATTATAGAATACAAACAAAGATATTTAAATATGTTCTTGGTATGAATTTCTCGAGTTAAAACTCGTGACAATATGTTAATAACAACAAGAGGTGTACACCGTTATTCACAGGCTCTTACAGTAAACGAAAAACTAGTTCGACAGTGTTATTTTTCAGCGTCGCGATGCCTGGAGATCCAGCTTTGTCCGTGGACGCTGAAAACCAGTCCAGCCATCTTTACGCTGTTGCTCTATAACTCTTAAAGTATTAGACATACCTCATAAAGTTTGGTATCGGTGGAAACATGATGTCATTTAGAATTTAGTACACTACGCAGTTTATTGATTGATAGAAAAATAAACACAAGACAACACCATTTCTTCTGCCATTTTTTATTAGAAGAAAAAAAATTGTAGATTTGAAGATAAGCCTATAAGGTAAGGTCAAGAAAGATATAGTTAAGTCAAGAAAGATATACTTTAGTCAAGAAAGATATAGTTAGGTCAAGAAAGATATACTTAAGTCAAGAAAGATATAGTTAGGTCAAGAAAGATATAATCAAGTCAGGAAAGATATAGTTAGGTCAAGAAAGATATAGTTAGTTCAAGAAAGATATAATTAAGTCAAGAAAGATATAATTAAGTCAAGAAAGTTATAATAAAGTCAAGAAAGATAGAGTAAAGGAGCAATAAAAGGAGAAATGCGTAAGTTACTTTCATCGAGAAATCTAAATGAAAAATAATTAGATTTCAGAAAGAGAAACATAGATAGCTCATTCATTCTTAACCAGACAAAGCTTTGAAGGGTACCGTTGTAAATCGGACTTAACATTTTAACAATTGTAGCTCACTTCAAATTACGTTAATGAGGAATAAAATTATTGAAACCTAGATAAATCCGGAGATATTTTGACCAACAACGGAGTTCTAGGAGATCTGGAGTCTCGGGCTCTAAATACAGATTTTGCTTAAAGTCTTTTCTTCTAAACCTACATTAACGTTTTCTTTCACCAGAGAGAATATTTAAAACTATTAGATTACATTCTTAACCAATATCTCAACAGGGAGATATTTCTCAGAAGGATTTTTCAAGCTTTGATGAAAAAAATCAAATTAGACTTTTAAGATTATTCAATTCATTGAATAAAAAAATTCCCAACATATTGGAATTTTAATGCAAGAAAAAATAAACTGGAATTTCTAACGAAAAAAAATGAGATAAAGAAACATGCATTTTTTCTTCTTTAAAACTTAAAAAATTTATTTGATGATAATACTTTGTTAAAACTTAAAATTGTAATTCAGTGCTTTGAATTTGAGCCCGCGCGCAATTTGAACCGATAATTTGCGGTTCAGCATGAGGTTTAAATACATTAAATTCGGCCTCAGGTTAGTTTATAAAGTATATGAGAGGATCTAACCTTAGCACTTCCTTAATAAGTTTACTTAATTCCTCCTTCTTCTGCATACTACGCAACCCTAGACAAATATTTTCGATTTTATTTTTAATTGCTTATTATGGAGTTCTACCTATACAGTGGAAGCTATAAAATTGTGGAATATGAGAACTTCAGAATTAATTAGTTCAAAATATATGAATTAGAGCATTGTGCAGTGTACACAGTCACATTTCACTAAATAAGTATCTTTTCAAAACTGTTTGCTTTATAACATCAAATGCACGTAAGATTTGTAAATGTAGTCAATCTCCGCATTTTTATGCCCCCTGTAACAAGGCGGATATGATAGATCCAAGCTATATACCTGGTTTATTAGGACTATATATATTAATTACAAGATAATCTGCTATAAATATAAATGGTTCATTAGGACTAGATATATTAATTACAAGATTATTATTATTATATACATATATACCTGGTTTATTAGGACTATATATATTTATTACAAGATAATCTCCTATATATATACCTGGTTCATTAGGACTAGATATATTAATTACAAGATTATTATTATTATTATTAACAATCAACCTACAGTCAAAGAATCATGTCCTGATGGCAATTAAAATTCAGTGTGTATGCCAGATATGTAAGGAGGCCTAAAAATGCTTTAAATATCATTTTGAACAGCACCCACGTCTGTTCGAGAAAAATCAAAGTGTTTCGTAAATCATAAATAATGTGAATCTAACTAGTTGGTCAAACTTAAAAGGTTATAGAAATGATTTAACTAAAACGTTTTTAGGCTTCCTCCATATTTTTAGCGTTAAAACTGAAATAAATGTTTATTGAAAAGCCAATGGTAAACCTTTTAGCCTTTAGACAGCTATATATATATATACCTGGTGTATTAGGACTAGATATGATAATTACAAGGTAGACAGCTATATATATACCTGGTGTATTAGGACTAGATATATTAATTACAAGATAATCTNGAATAAACTAGGGTAATAAAATGTTAAATAAGTATAAACTTGGCTTCCTACGTTTTTTATTTTTTTTTTTTTTTTATTATTAGAAAAGAGCTGGTTCATGTACCGCTGTTAGCCATGTTTCAATAATTTTCTTCAACTTTCTACCTCTTTCCATTAGGGATTTCCCCTTTGAACCATCTCCGCCAAGGTAACTTCTTAGTATTTTAACATTTGCTATTGGTCCCTTGGCCTTGTGTGCAGCCATGTAATTAGATAACTTTAACTCGCGTCGGAGTGAGGCTACCATTGGACATTCAAAAATAACATGAGATTCAACTAGTTTAATATGAACGCCAAATGTTTCGCAGTGTGGGCAAAATTCATATTTAAAACCATATCTATTTTTGTATCTATTGCCTAATTGAGCATTTCCTCCCCTGATTTGGCATAACATTTTATTTGCCTTTGAATCATTTACATGATCTTGCATTTTAAACCAGTGCCAAGGCTGGGGGGTTGTGTTTAAAGTAGAGTGTTGCCTTTTAACACTCAATACAAATGCCACTGCTTTTTGTGTAAGCGCAGCTTGCAAGTGAGTTTTTTTAGCATAGTTTGCAATTAAACCAACTTGAGCTTCTATTTTCATCCATGACTTTGTGTAAGCATCTGCTGGGTATTCTAATGCTTGTCTTAAAATTTTTGTAAGGGTCGGATTATTTTTTGTTTTAATAATACTGTAAATAAACAAAGCTTGTTTGTTAAGTATTCTATATGACATTGGCATAAGACCCGTGAAGAATTAAGAATCGGTTAATATTATCAAATTCAATCGAAAATAAATCCTTACTTATTAAAAAATATTAATTATTTAATGGTGTGTCACTATTCACCTTGTCATTAAGCGCCAAAACACAATCAGCTCTGCAAGAAATTTTCCTCATTTTCTCATTCTAAAAATTCATTAACTCTTTTGAGTCAACGTCAACTGTACCACCCCATTAACGATTATTTCATGTAAAAATCGCTTTAAAAAATTGAAAGACAACATTACTATACTATGCTTAACAGTAAATTGTTAAATGTAGGCTAAAAATGGCTAATTTGAAGGTAACACCTGCCCTATTTGGTTAAATCTATAAAAATTTATAAATCTATTAACAGGGTGTCCCACGAAACATGACAGAATCAAGAAGACTTTAAGGTCGTCTTAGATTATTACATAATTGGCTGCACCTACTTTTAGAAGTAAAATTCTAGAGTTAATAATCCCTCGCATTTCCAAAATGTGGTCTGCGATTTTTGTGCTTTCAATATTACCCGAGATATGGAGAATTTCGGGTAATAATGAAAGCACTTTAAAGTCAGACCACATTTTGGAAATGCAAAGAATTTGAGAACTTTGCGGTTACTGTTTTAAGAATCAAACATGGTAAGCTGACAACTAAATGTCAATTCAGTAAATTCAAAGATCTAAGACAACTTTCAAGTTGTCTTGCTACACCCTGTATCTTCCTATCTAAGCTTGCCTATAACAAATATATACCTTTATATCTCCTTCTAGTTTAGTAAAGTGTTGAGTATTATTATAATGCTGTAGACCCGTTTGACCGTCTGCCCCCCAGCCTGCTCCCCACACACCCCCATCCTCATCTATTAGTAGGCTGTGGTCCTGTCCTAGATAAAAAAAAATACAAAACATTATTTTATTGGAAATTAAATGGTGTCCCAAGTTCTAGGGAAAAAGTTCTTCCAAATGAAAATATTTTGGTCATCTAGAGAGGGGGTGCAGGGATACCATGAGCCCCGCAAAATGGTCTCCAAGCCTCTGGATTCGCAAAAAAATATTTTAAATGACCTGACGCTACTCCTAACCTTTAGAATATGTATTATAGAAGTACTGAAAAAAACTTCTGCGAAAAAATATTAAAAGTTATGCAATGTTTTTTGGATATTTCAGAAAACACTGCATAATCATTTGATTAAAAAATAATAGGAATTCTATGGTATCTATTCTAACTTTTAGGGGTAGCGCCAGGTCATAAAAAATACTGCGAATACGAAGGCTTGGAGACCACTTTGCGGGGCTCATTGTATCCCTGCATCCCCTCCCTCGAGTCGTTCATAAACTCATTCGAAAACTTATCTTTTACTGAGAAACAACAATATGTTAAGAACTTGGTTTAGGCATATTTCAACAATTTGACAAATTGTTGTCAAATAGAAAGGAGCGGATTGGTCCTTTTCGTGGATTTTCCACATCCGAGTATTTAAAGTTTGTTTGAAGTTAAGATAAAGTAGTACAAGATAATTGGACTGTATGTGTACCTTTAAATAATCTTTTATTTATGCCTGCTGCCAAGAAGCCAAATGTTCTGAATTTACAGTTCAATTCTCTGATTTATTTCTGTTTACGCCCTTGAGCCTCACAATTTTTGAAATACGCTGTGGACGATTTTTTAATACTTTTTTTCCAAAAATATTTGAAAATTTCTGTTTATTTTTTAATAATTATTGTTATTTAAACGTAAAACTTAAGATTTATTTATTTTTCTCTAAGCTAAGTGATTTAGCCAGAGATAAGAGAGTTACAGAGATCGATTTACACCTATAATATGCGATATTTTCCACAGCATGTTCTATTGTGTACAAGTACTGTACACGACCAATCAGGAGACATCTGTATTCAGGGATATTTAAGGATCCTTTGAATAGGAAATGCAAAATCTTTAAAAATAGACAATATTCATAAACGTTATGTTTTATGTTAAAAATTGGAGTGTTTCTTTAACAGTTGTAAAACTTAACCCCTGAATGCAACAAGTGGCCGTGAGATGTCAGTCAAAAAACATTACATGGAACCGTAGCATGGCGTGCCTTGACACTATAGGCCTGCTCAGCCTATCCAGGTAGAGTGTATGAGCAGTCTATGAATTTAGCTTACCTGCGACAACGTCTACAATCTTTTTGTCTAATATGATATTATTGACTATTCTGTTCCTGGCGTAATCCTCATTGTTAACAATGGCTCGACCCACCTATACAGCTGGGAAATCAATTTTATGAAAAATATAAATTTTTAAATTTAATTAAAGTGTTCAAATAGACGGTCGAGTTAGGAGGGATGATATTTGAAGATTTACGGGGAAAAATGAAGAAGAATATTTTCCTCTAAAAAAAAATTTCGCTCAAAACTCTCAACAAATTACCTCTCTTCTGGGGGGAAAATGATTGTCATAAAGAGGAGGGAGGGGAAGCAGTACAATTGACGGATGAGATATAGCAGTTACTCAATTTATGTTGGTTAATTTTCTGTAAAAAATAATTACATGGTGTCCTACGGAACATGAGAGTTGGTGAATAGTTTAAAATGTCTTCTTTCATAATTTGTTAAGTTAATTAATACCAAATAGAATAATAAAAAATATTATATAGCAGGTCATATTATAGAAAAATAAAATACAGTTTATGGATGAAGACATTCAAAACTATTCACCAACTGTCGTGCTTGGTATATATTTTCTTATAAAAATTAACATCCCCCCTCCCCCACATCCAAGTTATTGCTTTCCAAACAATAATAAATACTCCTTTATGTATTTTTACATAATTATCAATCCCCCCCCCACCCTTTAATAAAGTGTCAAAGTCATTGAGTGAAAAAGTTTCCCAAAACTAAAATAAAAAAATAACTTTGAGCAGTAAGTGAGCCGCCAGTAACCTGTATATGCTGATCCGACGGAAGAGAAATATCTATTTTTGTTGGAGCAATCACAAGTTCTAAAATATTGCGAATATTAAAAATAATTATTCATCCGTTGAAAATGCTTTTTTACTGAAATCAACTGACAAATCTGGATGAATTTGTAAACTTGACATTTTCTTAATTGACAGAGTTTTTGAGATGTAAATTCCTTCAGTCAATCATTATGTTTTGTGCTTAGAGAGTTGAAACCAGCGGTTTGAGTTAAAAGATTGTCAAATATGAAGATCAGCTTTTGTTCAATGATAGGTAACAGAAATACAAGACACAGTGGCCGGGTGTATATTTGTCATAATACCCCCCCCCCCTCCCGGGACTGGCAAAAGAAGCGGTGGGGGGGGGGGGGGGGGGGGGGGGAATAAATGAAGAATGGGACATCAAACAGGCAGGATTTTCATTCTTTTTAATATTTATAATCCAAAAATTCATGAATTTTTCCCAGTCAATAAAATCCTAAAAAAATATAAGTAAATTATGGCGAAAAAAACTTTCGAAAGGGGGGGGGGTAAAAATATACACCCCTGACGAGCCAGTTGTGACTTAAAAAATAAGCACATTATCGGTTACAATTTCAATAGAGTTTAGTTTAGAGGTTGCAGATTAGTGCTATTACCGCTAGTTCCGAACTCAGTGAATATACATTTGTCATTACCTAACGGTCTTCCTTTAATCCTCTCATGGTATCCAATCTGTCCGTCGGAATTAAACCCGCAACCGAAGACTCTATCTTTGGATCCGTGGGTAGAGAAAACAGTGAACCCGTAACCGCAGGAAAGAGTTCGAACATCCTCGTACTCAGCAAACGGAATTCTTTAATTAATCAAGTTTAGATTATTCATGAAATTAAATAGATAGATAGATATATATTTGACTAAATATTTAATTAAAAACAATTTAAATTTCACAGTTTTTACATTTTAATTTAGCCAGTGCCTCTCTAACTATTGTTGGTTGTTTTGAATGAGAGGCCTTTCTGCAGCGATACATCTATGTTCAATTTAAATAAAACCAAATAAAACAAAAACAATTTAGAACAAAGGGAAAAGGAGGAAAATGAATAGTAGTAGATAGAGGAAATGTATTGAAGAATAGAGAGGAAAAGAAGAAGAATGGATCGTAGGGATTAAGATTAAGTTAGATTAAGTATTTTTAAATAAATCTTCAAATTCTCAATTTTAAAAAAATATATTAAAAAAATTCAATTAGATTTAGGACTGAATTTAATGAGCCTCTAGAGGTCGAGCTGAACTTAACTCCCGAAACTAAGTTTAATTCAAAAAAATCGCTGCGGGCAACCTGCATACTAGCTTCTGGGGGAAAAACTTTCCTAAGAGGGTGGGGGGGATAATTTTTCAGGAACAAATACCCCATGTCCCCTCCCTAAACTATGGAGGAGACCTACCTGTAGGGTTTATGCATCCTCTCAACTATTGGTAGATTTCTCTCTGGGTTTAAGAATTTAGGTTGACCCAGTTGTCCAGAGCTTGCGTTCCCAAACATATAAACACGCTAAACAAAACAAACTTTCAACATTTATCGATATCTCTATATAAAAAGCTGTAATCTCTGTTTGTTTGTTTGGCCGATCATAACTCAGGAACCTCTTACCGATTTGCCTTAACATTTACTTGAAGAACCACAAAAAATGTTCTTAACTTGGTTTTGAGATTCTACGTTGAGTGGGTGGACTTTTAATGGGAAAACTAGCTGAAATCGTAATTTAAGACCAAGTGCGGGTAAACGACGGGAGTAACATTGGCACCACATCATCCACGGGTCCATTTTTTTCATGACTGCACCAAATCGAAATGAAATGGATCCTGAGCATTGTTTAATCGTAAATTAACAATGTTACCATGAAAAAAAAATATTTGTATGTAATAATTCAATACCCCCCCCCCCTCGGAACATATAATAAGCCGGGGCCTGTAGAGATGGGAGGGGGTTGGCATACCTTACTTTTCTCTGGTTTATCGGAGGCAAACTGAAAGGTTGGAACTGAATCCTCTGGTAGAATTTTCACCCCACGTTGTTTACTACGAACTGGAGGCGCCTAGAAGAAAATTAACTTGTATTGAAATGATTAAAAGAAGAGAAAATGGATTAATAGACTAATTCTTATTCAGTCCATGCTATTTATTAACAAATAGAGAATTACTACTTTATTATTTTTATGTTAGAGGTTTAAAGGCATGAGTGTTGTTTACAAAAAAAATCCGTTACGATTTTAGCTCTTTCTTCATTCAATATCGAATGAAGAGCCACTACAAGATGGATATGATTATTTAGTACAGGACATTTTTATTATCTTAATATTTTAGGATAAGATTAAGTAAGCCAATTTCTAGGCCGAGCACTCCGGCTTGGACAGGCTTAGCTAAGCTAGGGGACCACACGCCGCGGTTAGGACATAGACCGAGGGTTAAAGCTGTATGTACGACTTTGAAGATGTCAAATTAGAAGGGCCAAAAATCATTCTTCAGGAAATTACCGAAATGTAAATAATTAGCTACAATCGTTACTGTTATGTGTTCACCACAACCACAGGTTACCAGAAAAACTGCCACAACACATATATTCCATGACATAATTATTTTTAACAAAAGTATAATCTTATTTTCCAAAGTTTTCCTCGCCTAGGTAAATGGTTGTCATATCAATTAGTCTAATTATAGATTTGACTAACGTTCGTTTGAACTAATAATCGTTTGGCTTAACGTTCAAACGACTATACTTACTTTTAATCTAATAACCTCCCACAGATCTCTAGAATGATACCCATATGATAATATATGTTTTAAACCAGTGCTTAGGATCCATTTAATTTTGATGTGGATCCGGATCCTGGATCCGCTTTTCAAAAAAATGGATCCGGATTCGGATCCGGATTCGGATCCGGATTCGGATCCGGATCCGGATTCAGGTCATTGATCAAGAAAAATTTTATTTTAGTTCAAATATCTTTTCATACCTAAAAAAAATATTAAACATTTAAACATTTTTTTACACTATTTTTCTACTAGTTTGCACAAAATGATAATGATTTTTTTTACTTTATTGGATGAAAAAAAACAGGTCTAATTCATATTAGCTTTTAGTAGAAGGAGGGCGTTTGGAATATCTGCCTTCAGGCAACTCCTTAGGTCTGATTTGAATATCTTCAGGGCAGAGAACAGTCTCTTTATACTGGGAACACAAGATGTTCCTTATCATCTGTATCTTTTTAGCATATGTGCGCCCCCTCCCTTTTCCCCCTCACTCTTACACATCCTTACACCTTAATTTGTGAAGACTAAATTTGCTTAGTTGCAATGGGGAAAAGGGAGACTTCTCCCNTGCCAAGCGCCGCGGCTATGACAGGCTATGGCCGAGCGCTGCGGCCACATGACCAATTATATTCATGTACAAAGTTGATAGTAAGGGGGGGGGGCGGGTTCCAAAAATTGTTCCCTAGGTAGTTGCCCAAAGCACAATGTAAACAAGGAAAAAAACCTTAGAATGATTGTTGAAAGAATTAGAAAGCATTGCTTTGCATTCTCTGAGAGGAAGATTTATATTTTTTTCCAAAACATTTTTTGAAACAGATAACATTTTGTTTCTACAAAAACAGTTAATGTATTTAACAGATTTTAGAACGTAGTTTAACATTCAATTGTTAACCCATCAGATAAACTTCAACTGTCCTTATTTCACTGACAATACAAATGTAAATTTGACCGATCCTTTTTCTGAGTTCGTGAATCACTAGCGCGGAAAGAACGAGAATACCGCGTAGTTTTCTAAACTTATATTCCACTGGCTCTAGCTTAATGAGGTCAATGAGGTGTACGGTGTACAGAGCGTCCCATATCATATTAGATTATCTCTAAGCTTTAGTGCCAATTTAAGCACATAATACTGGAAAAACCAAGCCCTTTTTGCAAGAAAATGTTTATATAACTCTTATCAGATTTTACAAAATGATTCAATCTTCTTAAATTTTCTGATTAGTCCCGAAAATCGTAATTTAGACCCATTGACGATCTAATATGATATGGGACACCCTGTA